CCTATTGCCCGGGGCCCCATGAGTTGTCAGTCCGCCCAGGACTGTATCCATATGAATTTTTTTGCATTTTTTTGAGACCGATAAAACTTTATTTTGCTGGTATTTATTCACCACTGGGATTTTTTTTTTTTTTTTTCTTGCTATATAAACGAAAAATTTCAAAGATTTTGAAAAAAAAGTGTTATCTTATAAAATTTTGCAAATAAATAATATTTCTTCATAAATCTTGGGCAAAAATTATTCAGTTATCTTTTTAGTAAAAAAAATAACCCAAATTAGTTTATAAACAAAAAATTAAAATTAAAAAAAAAATTTTTACATTTGTGTTTTTTTTTATATTATTTTTTTTTTTTTAACATATTGTCACCCTAGCAGTACAGTGTCACCATAGTGACACTGTACTACTTGTGGAGGGTGATGAAGATTTTTTTTTCATTTTACTCTGATTGCTGTTACACCCATAAAGGCTGTAAAAGTGATCATTTCTCCTTGTCTCTGGCTGCATTCTTGCAGTCATTGAGAAGTACTGTGTGAGCTGTGATTGGTCACAGCTTGTCACATGGTACAAGGCTCTTGTGAATAGCCCTGTACCATGTGATCTCTGTGATCATTCACAGATTTCATACGTAGTAAGCAATGATGTCAGAAGTGACATCTTGCTTACACCTATTCATGTTATCACTGATTGGCCAATCAGTGATCACATGATCGGGACCTCACACAGAGGTCCCGTACAGTGATCAGTGTCCTGCTGTGTCCTGAAGACACAGCGGGCACCGCCTCGCGGTGCCGCACGCTCCCAGGGAGTGCACACAATCTAAAATGGTGGGTGCCATTTATGAACGGCAACCCGCCCCTAGACTGCCACCATCCGGCCGTTTATATACAGCGGCCGGACGGGAAGTGGTTAATGTATGACGTTGATTATCCATGATGAGTTGGTGGAAAAATAGTAGGCAATACAAGGAGTATTGCTGGAAAAGTGCATATTGACCTGTCTAAAAATACATAAATTTGGTTTGCATTCCTGCAGACATTGAGAACTACTGCGTGAGCTGTGATTGGTCACAGCTTGTCACATGATACAAGGCTGTTGTGAATAGCCCTGTACCATGTGACCTTTGTGATCATTCACAGATTTAACAAGTAGTAAGAAATGATGTCAGAAGTGACATCTTGTTTACTACTATTCATGTGATCACTGATTGGCCAATCAATGATCACATGAATCGGGACCACACACAGAGGTCCCGTACAGCGACGGGGGACATTTAGAAACATCCACCCACATCGGCAGTGCTCCCGTCCGGCCTTTTATCGGCAATGGGCCGGACAGAAAGAGGTTAAAGGATAAGTTCACACTTTGCACAAAAATAATGCACATATTTTTGCAGGATAAAAAATGAGTATTTATTTATTTTTGACCAAAGGAGCCTAGAAAGCATTGCACCAGTGATCAGTAGATCGATGATGCCATACAGGTCTCCTGCAGACCTGTCAGAATATCTCCTTGTCATACAGGGATGTACAAGCAAGCAGATATTCTGAGAGGAAGCTTCAATGAGCTACTACAGCGCTCCACAGCTCCATGGTAGTTCATTTGTATCTACAAGCCCACAGCCGCTAAGGCTGTCAGGACTTACAGATCATTCATTCACAGAAGTCCATGAATGAATGGCGCGGTCATGTGGGCAGCTGTTTTTGACAGATATTATGGGGAAACTTCTCCTTGTACTATTTGTCAGAGGGAGGGGGGATGGTGGGCGCGGCTGTGGCTATGGGAATATTCTACATGTTCCACCCTAAAAATGAGTGCAACATGTTCCAAAGGTGAACTTATCCTTTAACCTCTTGGCACCGGCCGCACACAAATGTGTGACCTCCCAGTGTCTGGGCCTTGACACCGAGTGACCGCGCATTTGCGTACAATTAAGCAAAACATGTGCTGAGTGCGCACCCTGCACACTCCCCGCACACATGTCCGGTACTCACAGAAAGGTCCCAATCTCCTCTTTCGATCGGGACCTTTCCCGATCATGTGACCGCCGTGAAAGCGAATCACGGCGGTCACATGACCCTAAAACCCCGTCCCACCTCCCGGCTTCTGAAACTCTTAAAGGGGTGGGAGGCACCGGCGCCAAGGGGTTAAGGATAAGTTCACCTTTGGGAACATTTTACATGTTCCACCCGTTTTTAGGTTGCTGTGAAAGTGAGTAGGAGAGTGTCAGTCGTGTTATACTGTATATATACAGGTGAAAATCTGAAAATTTAAAAATTAGAATATCGTGCAAAAGTTCATTTATTTCAGTAATGCAATTTAAAAGGTGAAACTAATATATGAGATAGACTCATTACATGCAAAGCAAGAGAGTTCAAGCCGTGATTTGTCATCATTGTGATGATTATGGCTTACAGCTCATGAAAACCCCAAATCCACAATCTCAGAAAATGAGAATATTATATGCAATCAATAAAACAAGGATTGTACATAGAACAATATCGGACCTCTGAAAAGTAGAAGCATGCATATGTACTCAGTACTTGGTTTGGGCCCCTTTTGCAGCAATTACTGCCTCAATGCGGCGTGGCATGGAAGCTATCAGCCCGTGGCACTGCTGAGGTGTTATGGAAGACCAGGATGCTTCAATAGCGGCCTTCAGCTCTTCTGCATTGTTCGGTCTCATGTCTCTCATCTTTCTCTTGGCAATGCCCCATAGATTCTCTATGGGGTTCAGGTCAGGCGAGTTTGCTGGCCAATCAAGCACAGTAATCCCACGGTCATTGAACCAGGTTTTGGTGCTTTTGGCAGTGTGGGCAGGTGCCAAGTCCTGCTGGAAAATTTAGCCAGCATACCCATAAAGCTCACCTGGTAGACGGCTGCGTTGACCCTGGACATAATGAAGCACAGTGGACCAACACCAGCAGATGACATGGCTCCCCAAATCAACACAGACTGTGGAAACTTCACACTGGACTTCAAGCATCTTGCAGTGTGTGCCTCTCCATTCTTCCTCCATACTCGGGGTCCTTAGGCCTCTCCATTCTTCCTCCATACTTGGGGTCCTTGGGCCTTTCCATTCTTCCTCCATACTCGGGGTCCTTGGGCCTCTCCATTCTTCCTCCATACTCGGGGTCCTTGGGCCTCTCCATTCTTCCTCCATACTCGGGGTCCTTGGGCCTCTCCATTCTTCCTCCATACTTGGGGTCCTTGGGCCTCTCCATTCTTCCTCCATACTCGGGGTCTTTGGGCCTCTCCATTCTTCCTCCACACTCGGGGTCCTTGGGCCTCTCCATTTTTCCTCCATACTCTGGGTCCTTGGGGCTCTCCATTCTTCCTCCATACTCGGGGTCCTCGGTTTCCAAATGAGATGCAAAGGTTGCTCTCATCAGAAAAGAGGACTTTGGACCACTGAGAAACAGACCAGGTCTGTTTTTCTTTAGCCCAGGTAAGACGCTTCTGACGTTGTTTGTTGTTCAGGAGCGGCTCGACAAGAGGAATACGACATTTGAAGCTGATGTCCAGGATCCGTCTGTGTGGTGGCTCTTGATGCACTGACTCCAGCCTCAGTCCACTCCCTGTGAAAGTCCCCAACACTTTTTGAATGGCCTTTTCCTGACAATCTTCTCCAGGCTGCGGTCATCCCTGTTGCTTGTGCACCTTTTTCTTCCACACTTTTCCCTTCCACAGAACTTTCTATTAATGTGCTTTGATACAGCACTTTGGGAACATCCAACTTCTTTTGCAATTACCTTTTGAGGCTTTCCCTCCTTATGGAGGGTGTCAATGATGGTTTTCTGCACAACTGTCAGATCAGCAGTCTTTCCCATGATTGTGATTCCTACTGAACCAGACTGAGAGACCATTTAAAGGCTCAGGAACCCTTTGCAGGTGTTATGGCTTAATTAGCTGATTAGAGTGGGACACTTTGAGCCGAGAATATTCCACCTTTTCACAATATTCTCTTTTTCTGAGATTGTGGATTTGGGGTTTTCAAGAGCTGTGAGCCATAATCATCACAATGATGACAAATCACATCTTGAACTATCTTGCTTTGCATGTAATGAGTCTATCTCATATATTAGTTTCACATTTTAAGTTGCTGCACTGAAATAAATGAACTTTTGCACCATATTCTAATTTTACGAGTTTCACCTGTATATATTGTGTTATAGCTTTTATTAAAGGACCTTCAGTATATCACTTTTATTTGGTACACTTAAACAAAAAAATTAAAAGAGTTTTTCTATCATTTGTTTAACATTTGAAATTAACACTGTACTTGTCTTCTTTTAACACTGCATTATTTTTCTGCCAATGAGTGCACAGAGAAAAAATACAGCTTTATCCAGGAGACAGTTTTCAAAACTCATGTGATCATCATATCACAGCTGTCAGGGTGGGTTACATGAACGGGAACCACGCTGATTGGTTTCTGATCATTAGGGATGATCAAGATTGCCAATAGCCAATATGGAACATAGAATAACATTTCTTAACCACTGGGTCCTATTCCAATGAATTTGCTCTACAGATTCCAAGCACATAGCAGTTTATCATTTTTTTCTTCTTTACAAACGTTTGTTTTTTTTTTATTAAGGAATAAACTGCAAGAACGGCATAACAACATAAAGTATAGTATGCAACAGGAAAAAGGCACATAAGTAAAAATCATCTTAAAAAAGTTAAATCACGTAAGAAATTAAGGTCAAGTACATGAAAAAGGTAGGCAGGTAGATATGCAGAGTAATAAAACTACCAACAAAGGAACAATATCAAGCAAACCATGATAAACCATCAGTCAAACAATAGATGCCGATGAGTTTTCCAACCATCCCACTTTCTGTTAACTTGTTGCCGACCGCAGATAGCCGAATGACAGCTGCACTGCGGCCGGCCAGTTCTGAGTGGACGTCATATGACGTCCCCCCCAGAACACGCTCTCCTGTGCGCCCCAGGGGGCGCGCACCCGGCGATCTCCGTGATCGCTGTGTCCTATGGACACACTGATCACGTGATGTGGTAAAAGGCCAATCACAGCGGCCTTTTACCACCTGATCAGCGGTGTCCAATGACACGCTGATCAGAGGGAAATGCAAGTGCCGGTTCTCGGCTGCACTTTCCTCACGCTGTCAGATCGTGAGGAAAGTACTGCCGAGAACCGGCAGTTGTCAGAGCGGGGATCGGCTCCGATCATCAGGGCACTGATGATCAGTGCCCTGATGATCGGTGCCCAGCAGTGCCACCCGCAAGTTCCGCCCACCTGTGCCCAGCAGTGCGCCCACTAGCTCCGCCCACCTCTGCCCAGCAGATCACCCACCTGTGCCCAGCAATGCACCCACCTGTGCCCAGCAGTGCACCCACCTGTGCCACTCTGCAATGTCACCTACCTGTGCCCAGAAGTGCCACCTACCTGTGCCCAGCAGTGCCACCCACCTGTGCCCACCCACCTGTGCCCACCAGTGCCACCCACCAGTGCAGCCCAGCAGTGCTGCCAGTCAGTGCCACCAGTCAGTGCCCAGGGGTTGTGCCAGTCAGTGCCGCCAGTCAGTGCCCAGCAGTGATGCCAGTCAGTGCCGTCTATCAGTACCCATCATCAGTGTCACCTATCAGTGCCGCCTATCAGTGCTGCATATTAGTGCCGCCTATCCGTGACACCTCATTAGTGCTTAGTGCCGCCTATCCGTGCCACCTCATTAGTACTGCCTATCAGTGCCCTTTAGTGCTGCCTATCAGTGCCCATCAGTGCCGCCTATCAGTGCCCATCAGTGCTGCCTCATCAACGCACATCAGTGAAGGAGAAAAATTACCTGTTTGAAAAATTTTATAATAGAAACAAAGAAACTTTTTTTTTTTTTTTTTTCAAATTTTTGGCAATTTTTTATTTATAGCGCAAAAAGTAAAGTGCCCAGTGGTGATTAAATACCACCAAAAGAAAGCTCTATTTGTGAGAAAAAAATGATCAAAATTTCATATGGGTACAATGTTGCATGACCGCGCAATTGTCAATCAAAGTGCGGCAGCGCTGAAAGCTGAAAATTGGCCTGGTAAATAAGGGGGTATAAGTGCCTGGTAGGCAAGTGGTTAAATAAGTGCATTCTATCCAGCAACGTGTAATGAACACGTTTCATAAGCCTCACCATATCGACTTTCCATAGAACCAAGGCCAAAAGGTACTACTGGCGACTTCCAATGAAAGGCTATGGCCCATAGGGTTGAGACACAGATGGTGTGAATTAGCCTCATAGCATTGGTCTGTATCTCCAAGGTGGGGCTGCCAGTAAGCAAATCTGCACAGATAAATGAACCGGAGCATCCGCCACCGCATAGGCCACTTCATAAACTTTACGCCAGACCAATGAAAGGCCTGGACAGACCCAAAAAACATATGCACAAGGGTACCAGCAAGGCCACACCCCAGGAAGCAGAGGTGAGACGTCCCCGGAAACATGATATGTAGTCTAAAACCTCAAGGGCCGTCTCATGGACCGAAAAAGATCTAGAGATCTTAAGTATGCTATCCATCGTGGATTACCAGTCCTCTTCAGAAAAAGTGATACCACAATCAACCTCCCATTTCTGTCTATACAAGGGTAAGGGAAAGATATGTACCAAAAAAAGAGCGATACAAGTCAAAAATAAGACCCCTACCCCTAGGAGAGTCACGACTAATGAGTTCAAAAAACGTGATCGGAGACCAAGGTGTCAGTCCAAAATGTGAACTAAAAAAGTGTCTTATTTGCCATTAACGATAGTGTTTGTGAAGTGGGATATCAAAGAGTTCGTAACTTCTCAAAAGAGATATAAGACCCACCTCTCTGAAAATCAGATAATCTGATAAGGGCTCGATCATACCACCAGTGAAACGCCTGTGGAGACGAAAACGCTGTGACAAAATTTGTGCCACCAAAAAATAATGAAACAGAAGAGACAAGACCCAATTTTAATTTATAGTGGGACCTTCATCAAAGGGGTCAGGGAGGCAGCCATCCAATCTCAGTGACTTTTTAGACAGCCAACCCCAGACAAAACTTTTTTATTCATTTTTTTTTTTGCAGAGATAAACAGTGTTAGAGTCATTGCCAGTTTTATATCGCTGTATATGCCCCTGCTGCAGAAACTTCTCTTCATTTCCTGTCAAGACAGCAAATGATAGGAAATCTCTCTAATAGGGAGACTGACAAATAGACAATTATAGCAAGGCGGAGAAGAGACAGAACTTCTGAAAATGTTCTTATTGTTGTCCGAGAATACTAGATCTGGTAATTTCTGGTATGAGTATAACAAAGACATGAAGAAAGGGAAAATATCTCCCCTCCCAAAAAAACTCAAACACAAAAATCTAACAGAAACTTTAACTCTTACCCAAAAATAAACAAGAAAAATATTCATATTACTGTATTTGGCTGGAGCATACAGTGATCAGTATAGCAGAGGAGAGGAGTGTGGAGGGTATGAAAGTGGGCAGTATAAAAAGGAGAGGAGAGTGGAGGGTAAGAAAGTGAGCAGCATGTACAGGAGAAGAGTGTGGAGGTATGTATGACAGTGGGCAGTATGTACAGGGACAGGGGAGGAGTGTGGAGGGTATAACAGTGGGCAGTATGTACAAACAGGGAGGAGTACAGTGTACAGTGGGAGGGTATAACAGTGGGCAGTATGTACAGGGGAGGAGTGTGGAGGGTATGACATTGGGAAGTATGTACAAAAGAGGAGTGTGGAGGGTATTACAGTGGTCAGTATGTACAGGAGAGGAGTGTGGAGGTATGACAGTGGGCAGTATGTACAGGAGAGGAGTGTGGAGGGTATAACAGTGAGCAGTATGTACAGGAGATAAGTGTGGAGGGTATGACAGTGGGCAGTATGTACAAAAGAGGAGTGTAGAGCATATGACAGTGAGCAGTATGTACAGGAGAAGAGTATGCAGGGTATGACAGTGGGCACTATGTACAGGAGAGGAGTGTGGAGGGTATAACAGTGGGCAGTATGTACAGGAGAGGAGTGTGGATGGTATAACAGTGATCAGTATGTACAGGAGAGGAGTGTGGAGGGTATGACAGTGGACAGTATGTACAGGAGAGGAATGTGGAGGGTATGACAGTGGGCAATAAGTACAGGAGAGGGATTTGTGGAGGGTATGACAGTGGGCAGTATGTACAAGAGAGGATTTTTGGAGATATGTCAGTGGGAAGAATGTACAGGAGAGGAATGTGGAGATCATGACAGTGGGTAGTATGTACAGGAGAGGAGTGTGGAGGGTATGGCAGTGATCAGTATGTACAGGAGAGGAGTGTGGAGTGTATGACAGTGATCAGTATGTACAGGAGAGGAGTGTGGAGGGTATGGCAGTGATCAGTATGTACAGGAGAAGATTGTGGAGGGTATGTCAGTGGGAAGTATGTACAGGAGAGGAGTGTGAAGAGCATGACAGTGGGCAAATAGTACAGGAGAGGAGTGTAGAGGCTATGACAGTGGGAAGAATGTACAGGAGAGGAGTGTGGAGGGTATGACAGTGGGCAGTATGTACAGAGGAGGTGTCAGGAATCTAGGAATGACCAGAAAGGTGTGGACTGACACAGGGAAACGCCGGCTTCAGGTATAGTATAATAATACAGTTTATTATTAGCCACCCAGATATATATATATATATAAACGCACAGTGAACAAACTAACCTTCCACTAATCTTAGTAGGTGCAGGAACACAGGCGTAGTCAGGGCTGGAGAGGTGGAATGGTCAGGCCGGCCGTAGGGTTCTGTAACGACTGCCTGGTGGTACCTCTAGCGGTCCTCAGGGCAGGATTCCCCAGGGCGCGGAGTCTAAGTCCCAGTCTGCTTATTCACCAGGGCCCCTGATGGTGGGGATGGACTTGGAGCAGACAGAAAACAGGTCGCGGACCCTGAGTACACCTGCTAGTGGTAGAGGGATCCGCCAGAGGTATGTGCAGGTAGAAAGCCTGATGTGAAGAGGCAGAAGGTGTGAGCAGGGACGGCTGGATCCGTGCAGGATGGATGGATGGCAGAGTAGTTAGCGTGGTCAGACGGCCAGGTCAGCAACGTGCGGGCAGCAAGGTACCAAAGGAGCAGGCAGAGAATGGTCAGGGTCACAAGCTCGGTTCAGTAACTCACGGGCAGCAGCGCGGTACAGGGGATCAGGCAGAAGGATGGTCAGGCAAGCCAGGGGTTCAACAGGAGACAGTCAGCAGAGGTCAGGATCAAGCAGGGTCAGCAACGAAGCAGGAACACAGGATACCAGGTACAGGGGCTCATGGGAAAACATACACCAAGGCCCTGATCACAGGCCTGGTCATGCCTTAAATACACCTTCTGCAATCAGCCCCAGGATTGGCTGATTGCAGGAGTGAGCTTCTGGCTGCTGAGAGCACCCGCTGGTCAGCTCTGGTACTGCAGCCCACACGGCAGGTGAGTCCCACCACCAGTGCTGAGTCCATTCCTGACAGGAGGAGTGTGGAGGGTATGACAGAGGGCAGTATGTACAGGAGAGGAGTGTGGGGGGTATGACAGTAGGCAGAATGTACAGGAGAGGAGTGTGGAGGGTATAACAGTGTGCCATATGTACAGGAGAGGAGTGTGTGCAGGGTATGACAGTGGGCAGTATGTACAGGAGAGGAGTGTGAAGAGTATGACAGAGGGCAGAATGTACAGGAGAGGAGTGTGGAGGGTATGACACAGAGGACGAGTGTATGTACAGTATGTACAGAGGACGAGTGTGAAGGGTATGACAGTGATCATTATGTACAGGAGAGGAGTATAGAAGGTATGACAGTGGTCAGTATGTACAAGAGGGGAGTGTGGAGGGTATGACAGTGTGCAGTATGTACAGGAGAGGAGTGTGGAGGGTATGACAGAGGGCAGTACGTACAGGAGAGGAGTGTGGAGGGTATGAAAGTGATCAGTATGTACAGGAGGGGAGTGTGGAGGGTATGACAGTGGGCAGAATGTACAGTAGAGGAGTTTGGAGGGTATGACAGTGGGCAGTACGTACAGGAGAGGAGTGTGGAGAGTATGACAGTGGGCAGTATGTACAGGATAGAAGTGTGGAGGGTATGACAGTGGGCAGTATGAACAGGAGAGGAGAGTGGGGGGAAGGCCAGTGGGCAGTATGTAAAGGAGAGGAGTGTGTGGAGGGTATGACAGTGGGCAGTATGAACAGGAGAGGAGTGTGGAGGGTATGACAGTGGGCAGAATGTACAGGAGAGGAGTGTGGAGAGTATGACAGTGGGTAGTATGTACAGGAGAGGAGTGTACAGGGTATGACACAGTGAGCAGAATTTACAGGAGAGGAGTGTGGAGGGTATGACAGTGATCAATATGTACAGGAGAGGAATGTGGAAGGTATGACAGTGGGCCATATGTATAGGAGGGGAGCGTGGGGGGTATGACAGTGGGCAGTATGTACAGGAGAGGAGTGTGGAGAGTATGACAGTGGGCAGTATGTACAGGAGAAGAGTGTGCAGGTTATGACAGTGGGTAATGTGTACAGGAGAGGAGTGTGAAGGGTATGACAGGTGGCAGTATATGCAGGAGAGGAGTGTGGAGGATATGACAGTGATCAGTGTGTACAGGAGAGGAGTGTGGAGGGTATGACAGTGGGAAGTATGTACAAGGTAGGAGTTTGGAGGGTATGACAGTTGGCAGTATATACAGGAGAGGAGTGTGGAGGGTATGATAATGGCCAGTATGTACAGGAGAGGAGTGTGGAGGGTATGACAGTGGGCAGTATGTACAGGAGAGGAATGTGGAGGGTATGACAGTGGGTAGTATATACAGGAGAGGAGTGTGGAGGGTATGACAATGGGTAGTATGTATAGGAGAGGAGTGTGGAGGGAATGACAGTGATCAGTATGTAAAGGGGAGGAGTGTGGAGGGTATGACAGTGGGCAGTATGCACAGGAGAGGAGTGTGGAGGGTATGACAGTGGGCAGTATGTACAGGAGAGGAGTGTGGAGGGTATGACAGTGGGCAGTATGTACAGGAGAGGAGTGTGGTGGGTATGACAGTGGGCAGTATGTACAGGAGAGGAGTGTGGGGGGAAGGCCGTGGGCAGTATGTACAGGAGAGGAGTGTGGAGGGTATGACAGTGGGCTGTTTGTACAGGAGAGGAGTGTGGAGGGTATGACAGTGGGCAGTATGAACAGGAGAGGAGTGTGGGGGGGAAGGCCGTGGGCAGTATGTAAAGGAGAGGAGTGTGGAGGGTATGACAGTGGGCAGTATGAACAGGAGAGGAGTGTGGAGGGTATGACAGTGTGCCGTATGTACAGGAGAGGAGTGTGGAGGTTATGACAGTGGAAAGTATGTACAGGAGAGGAGTGTGGAGGGTATGACAGTGGAAAGTATGTACAGGAGAGGAGTGTGAAGGGTATGACAGTGGGCAGTATGTACAGGGCAGGAGTTTGGAGGGTATGACAGTGGGCAGTATGCACAGGAGAGGAGTGTGGAGGGTATGACAGTGGGCAGTATGTACAGGAGAAGAGTGTGGAGGGTATGACAGTGGGCAGTATGTACAGGAGAGGAGTGTGGAGGGCATGACGGTGGGCAGTATGAACAGGAGAGGAGTTTGGAGGGTATGACAGTGTGCAGTATGTACAGGAGAGGAGTGTGGAGGTTATGACAGAGGGTAGTATGTACAGGAGAGGAGTGTGAAGGGTATGACAGTGGGCAGTATGAACAGGAGAGGAGTGTGGAGGGTATGACAGTGTGCAGTATGTACAGGAGAGGAGTGTGGAGGGTATGACAGTGGGCACTATTTACAGGAGAGGAGTGTGGAGGGTATAACAGTGGGCAGTATGTACAGGGTAGGAGTTTGGAGGGTATGACAGAGAGCAGTATGTACAGGATAGAAGTGTGGAGGGTATGACAGTGGGCAGTAAGTACAGGAGAGGAGAGTGAAGGGTATGACAGAGGGCAGTATGTACAGGAGAAAAGTGTATAGGGTATGACAGTGGCCAGAATGTACAGGAGAGGAGTGTGGAGGATATGACAGTGGGCAGAATGTACAGGAGAAGAGTGTGGAGAGTATGACAGTGGGTAGTATGTACAGGAGAGGAGTGTACAGGGTATGACAGTGAGCAGAATTTACAGGAGAGGAGTGTGGAGGGTATGGCAGTGATCAATATGTACAGGAGAGGAATGTGGAAGGTATGACAGTGGGCCATATGTATAGGAGGGGAGCGTGGGGGGTATGACAGTGGGCAGTATGTACAGGAGAGGAGTGTGGAGAGTATGACAGTGGGCAGTATGTACAGGAGAAGAGTGTGCAGGTTATGACAGTGGGTAGTGTGTACAGGAGAGGAGTGTGAAGGGTATGACAGGTGGCAGTATATGCAGGAGAGGAGTGTGGAGGATATGACAGTGATCAGTGTGTACAGGAGAGGAGTGTGGAGGGTATGACAGTGGGCAGTATGTACAAGGTGAGGAGTTTGGAGGGTATGACAGTTGGCAGTATATACAGGAGAGGAGTGTGGAGGGTATGATAATGGCCAGTATGTACAGGAGAGGAGTGTGGAGGGTATGACAGTGGGCAGTATGTACAGGAGAGGGAATGTGGAGAGGGTATGACAGTGGGTAGTATATACAGGAGAGGAGTGTGGAGGGTATGACAATGGGTAGTATGTATAGGAGAGGAGTGTGGAGGGTATGACAGTGATCAGTATGTAAAGGGGAAGAGTGTGGAGGGTATGACAGTGGGCAGTATGCACAGAAGAGGAGTGTGGAGGGTATGACAGTGGGCAGTATGTACAGGAGAGGAGTGTGGAGGGTATGACAGTGTGCAGTATGTACAGGAGAGGAGTGTGGAGGTTATGACAGTGGAAAGTATGTACAGGAGAGGAGTGTGGAGGGTATGACAGTGGAAAGTATGTACAGGAGAGGAGTGTGAAGGGTATGACAGTGGGCAGTATGTACAGGGCAGGAGTTTGGAGGATATGACAGTGGGCAGTATGCACAGGAGAGGAGTGTGGAGGGCATGACAGTGGGCAGTATGTACAGGAGAGAGGAGTGTGGAGGGTATGACAGTGGGCAGTATGTACAGGA